AGAACAGACATTAAAATTTTGCATGTCTGCAGTTCATGTCTTGTACCTGCGGGGTCATAAAGTGTCCTCAAAAGTAGTTAGCAGTTTTGGTCTCGGAACGCCCCACAAATCTAATAAAGGAGTAACAACAGTGGTCTACTTTGCAAAGGCTGAAGAAGGGAGGGACATGTTTTCTGACAAATAATATTTTTTGGAATTCAGCAATTTTTCTGATCTCTGCTAGGATTTGTTTATTGGTAAGTGATCAATCTCTTCCTCTACATATCTACCATACCTCTCCCATTTTTCAAATTATCAAGGTAATCAACAGCTTCCAATACTTTCACCTGCTGAATTTTGTATCATCATATTAGCTCTGGAACAATCATGACACCTTTCAAATATTTTGACAGTCAAACAGAGGTTTGGATCTGTATATATTTCACAGATTTAATTCAAATATTTCTCCTCCGTGTTAGGATAATTTCTACTTTTGCTTAATATTAAAGGCTTAATTTATACATGATTACATTACATTAACATGAAATATCTACATAGACTCTTATGTAGAACAAAAGTGCCAGGCCTTTTTTTTTTGCATAGTACAAATTTATGTACATTTCACATTTGACTAAAAATCTGAATCTGAAGTCAATGTACATTTCTTAATGCAATTAAAGCAAACTTAAGATTTTATTTAAAAATCTGCCAGATTTCAAACTCTGAACTTATTCAAATTGATAAAAACAAGGGATGATTGCCACAGTGGTTATAGTACAGGTGAGATACAAAAAGGTGTTGCATTTAACTGGATAAAATGTTAAAATTTAAGAGAAAGTTGATCAGAACCCCCTGCAGGAGAGGAGAAACAATTGGAACCAAGGTAGAGAATTTCTGTGGAATCTTAATGGCTAAATTAGCTTTTAATTAAGCAAACCTAGAGGCCAAACGGTAACAAAGTAACTCATTAAGGTGCTGCAGTATTATAATAAATGTGTGGTGCTCTTTAGAATGCCATAAGGCTGTCTGTTGTTAAAACATCATCTCTATTGGTTTAAAAAAAAGGCTATTACTAAATTTTTTAAAAATAACAGCATCTATGCTCAAATTATTAGGCTTTTCTTAACAACCAGCATTAGTATATCCACATATTCATTATCTATATATCCACGACAGTAAATGCCATAGATTTAAAACATTTGGCTTTGCAGAGTGGTGGGGCTATGTTGTTATTGAACAAGCTTAAGTGTAATATTGACTTTTCCCTGCCACAAAACCATAGCAATGAAGTGCAAGTAATTTGCACCTTGGCTGCTTTGCAGATTGCCCAGCGAAGGAAGCTATACAGCAAACAGCCTTGTGACTTATAAGTGATTTAGGGTTCTGGCAAGGTGGCAAGCAAGTTGGCACTGCCTTGAATCTTGCATGCCCGAGGCTAGCTTTGAACTCATAACTATGGTTTGATTGGATAAGCTCTCATTCTTTGAATCATTGCATAAATATTTAGCTACAGTTGTTAAATTGTGATATAATTAATGGATCAACATGGATTTGCAAATCTCCTGCATCCTTGTTTGCAAGAGGCCCCCGTTTCTGGGCTCTCAATGGGATATTTATGCTGACAGCAATCTTTATAGGTTTCTGGGGAAGTAAACATCAGCTCAAAATTGCTTCTGCAGTTGCTGGGGCTGGCCAGACTGTTATGCAGTGTAGAGCTGGGAGAAGGAAAGAGGGAAGCCCAGGAACAGATCAGTTGCTCAACAGGGCTTGTGCTTGCTCCCCAGTGGGATTTTTCTTCTTTCTGCCCCCTCATACATACATATAAGAAATAAAAAAAAATAGAAAAGCTGCTTATTATTACATTCCTAACTTGTTCTGATAATCTGGTCCATTCCCCATAATGTCATATGTGCTAGAAATTCTCTGCAGCCAGTCACTTAGACGAAGGCCAAATCAGAGGACTGAATGCTTTATACTGGCTTTCTCCAACTCAGTGACCTCCAATCCTGGCCATTTGTAGTTGGAGTGGATGAATCTTACTGTTCAAGAGCAACTGGAGGACACCAAGTTAGGGTGAAGTATGTCAGTGTGTTGTGAAAAAAAGAGTAAAGACTGAGAGATGAAGACTTTGTCAGAGAGAAAAAAAAGTGCCTTCTCCACATATTAATGGGATACATGCACAGGGGTATTTTAAACTAGACACTTTAAGCTTAATAATAAACTTGTCATGCCCTTTGGCAGTCGGACTCTGAGGGAGAGAAAGAACAGAGACAGGGAGTGGAGGTGTGGCTCCAGAGGTTGTGAAGGAGGCTGGGGAAGTCAGAGGAAGAACCAGGCCCATCCCCTATGCATCCTAGGACACACAGGGAGGAACAGAGAAGGCAACAACTTGGCTTATGAGAGAGGAAGCGGCCATGATCCTCCTCATTGGTTGCAGCTAGAGAGACTAGTATATAAGAGAGATGATCACAACACAGTGTTGCCAGGAGCAAAGTGTGTTTTATTTTGGGCTGAAGTTATCTTGGTTGGCATCCTTCCAACAGACTGTGCCTTGTTATCTCCTTGAATTTGGTAATTACTTATCCTGGTCCATTGTGGAAATTTCATCATTGCAGTTAGTTAGGGTTTTTTTATTTCACTTCTATCTGCTCATTAAGTTCGGACTGTATTGCTTTCTTTTGAAGACTACTTTTGAGTACTTTTTATCTTCAACTGAGAATTATTGAATAGTGGGGCTGAGTTGGAGGCATTAAAGGACATTTATTTACGTTTTGGATTTTGTTACGTTTATCACTCCGGGTCATCACAAAGCCCATTGTTTATTTCACCCTTCCCCAATCTGGCTCTCCTGGATGGGTTCAGATTTCAAGGGCCAAGAATTCTAGCCAGATTGTGTTGGCTAAGAATTCTGGGAAGTGTCATCTCAGGGCATCCAGAGGGCCAGGTTACAAAAGACTGGACTACCCTACTGTGAAATAGAATTCAAATTTATAACATTGAATCTCATATTAAATCTCATACTCTGACTTGGAGGGAGTTATATTTGCACTGTAGTAACAAGTAGAGATATTGATAAAATCATAATTTCAAACTTACAATTTCAAACTAGTAACCAGAATTAGACCCTTACCTTGGAATGTAAGAAACTACCTTATGCCAGCTTAGATTATTGTTCATCACATGAACAATTGCTGCTATTAATTAATAGCAGCTTACCAGGCAGAGATGTTTCCCCAGTCATTTCTCACTATTTGAGCCAAGTCTTTGACCCTACAAGCTAAATATCAATGGAAACGGGATTCATGATTTAACAGGTAGCAGAACCTGGGGTCATGGAACCTTACATCACAATTTTCAACTGCACAGAGATGTCTTTTGGCAAAAATAAAATAAAAATACCATGGTTCAGGCCATGCTGAATTTGAAACAGAAAGAAAGTAGGAGTCAGAAAGAGAAATTGGCACCTCTCAAAGCCAAAACAATGAGAAAGCCATTTGGCTAGACAGATTTTTTTTTTTTACTCATGTCTGCCTGTCTGCTATGATAGTAAAGCCTGGTCTAATTTTTAAGATTTCTAATTTGCAGATTCCCAAACTCCTGGCCACATCACTCACAAACCAAGGCTGTTCAGAGTACACCCTTCCATAGACACTGAGCCTTGATCAAGCACAAGTAAGGTCTGTGAGGATAACCTTTATTTCTGTGGGAGCCTAAGCATCAAGAGATTCAAACTGCAAAGTTTGTCTAAATGTCAAGGGATTCAAAACAGCCTGAAGAGAAACCTACTTTTTTACATTTCTACAGCATCATACATATAAATATGGTAGCCTGCAATGTTATAAACAATAAAAGCATTGTGAATTTACTGCAACCATGATGGCAGGAAAATTAGTCTGATTCAGGGAAAATGCAAATCCACAAGTCTAGATTAGGCATGCCTCATCTTAGCCTTCAATCATAGGAGCTTTCCCCTTCATGTTCCTTGAAACTTTCCCTTTTTATGATTGTGTATCTGATTGAGCTATTTTTGGTTTTTCAAAGCTAGAATGGTTATTTTCATCTCTCCCTTATTGCTTATTGGTCCTTCGAGTTCAAAGCCTTTCCAGATCTAAAATGTATGTTCCTTAGATCTTCTGCCAGGTCACAGATAAGCTGAGTCCATCAGTATTTAGTTGGAAGCCCCAATATCTACTGTCATTATTCTTTTCATCCTAATACCAATACAAAAAACCTGTGGGAAAATAAATTATTTATTTTCCTTTGAAATTTAAATTGTAAAATGGCCCAGCAAAAGGTCTGGGATCACTTGAACTGTCGCTCCTTAACTCCCTAAAGCAACTTTGAATGCAACGGAATGTCATTGGCCAAAGCAACCCATGCAGTTTTTCAGTTGCTTTGGCTCACCTTAGAATCTGTGCTTTTTGTTTTGATTTGGTGAACATGAGGTCTTAATGGTTGCCCAAGCGGGGTCCTAATGCCATAGTGCCAAACAAAGTGTTAATATTGTAGCTAGTTTGTATTAGCTGAATTTTATTTTCTATCCTTCTTTACTTCTGCTGCCTTGGTAAAATATCATATCCCTGACATTTTGCCTGGGGTGGGAGCTAAATACGACTTCTGTCTTCTCAGAGTCAAGTCCTATTGCTATTAAATATACACAGTGCCTTTGTAAAACTGGAGGAATGGGATGATATTTGGCCCCAAGAAAGAGAACAGATCCATAAAATCTATAGCCATATATGATCTTCGGGTCTCACTCTTGATTTTTAAATGTAAAAGGCCCCAATGTATAGATTCATTAGTTATACTTTAAGGGTGCCTATCCTCTGGTAGGCAAACTGTGCCTGACTCAGGGGGGAGGGAGAGAGTGTGCTCCATGATAAGATCCTAGCCTCATCCTGAGCACTTCCAAGTGAAGCTTTCTGTGCAGGCCTTGGAGGGAAAACTGGTGGAAAGCTCATTTCTGCAAAGGCACAGGACAGAATCAGGGCAGGCGCTGCATGAAACAGCTCTGAACTTACCTTCCTTGGGGAGATGGCAGTACAAGAGCCAGAAGAAGAGAAGACAGCCAAGTATAGCGATTATCCTGGTAGACAGCTCTCTCCAACCGGCCAGCATTCTTATAGAGGTTTCCCCAGATGGGCCACCAGCAGGGGCCAAAGGAGTGTGCGCCCCACTACAAAGTTCAGCCTTTTTCTAAATCCAGCTGTAAGAGGGTGTCTGTCTGGCACAGAGGAGATTCTGCCCTGGCTGGAGCACAGCTGCATTCCCTTTCAGGCAGAGCAAAGCTGTAGGCAGCAGCATCAGGCTTTCCAGAGAGAATGTGCAGGTCCAACTGCAACTTCCTAGAGTGCCCGGCTGGGTTATTTAGGATCGGGCGCTTCTCGCTCTACAACCCAGGGGTACCAGAAGTCTTATTTCTTTAACAAGGCAGAGGCTCCCCCCCTTTTACATCTTATCCTCAACATCAAGCTCCGCCCTCGCTGTAGCCGAGAAGCGGGTTCGGAAATCCCGATTTGCACCAGTTAATTGCTTTAAAAGTAACCCGTTGGGGGTTGCAGCTTTGGAGGGACCCCGCCCCTTTCCTTGGGACCAGCCAAAGTCCCGGCCGTGCGCAGTTCGGTTCTTGACTTGTTCGGTATCTTTTCAACAACCGCAGACGCCGTTTCTGCTGCTGCTGCTGCTGCTGCTGTTCCCCTTCGCCGTCTGGCGCGGTTTGCCAGGCGCAGTCTTCGACACCACGGTCTCCCCCGCAAGAGCCCACCCGAGAGCTCGAGTCCCCGCCTGCGCCGCTGCTGCCTGCTCGTCCGGCCTTCCTCGGCCGCAGGGGAAAGCTTTCATCCTCGGCTGCGGGGGAAGCCTGGGGGGGTGGGGGGGAGGGCAGAGGAGCGGAGCCTGCCAGCAACAAGCTCCGACCCCGCACCCTTTGGGACACACAGACACACACAACCACACACACAGAGGATCTCTCGAGCGCTCTCGGCCGCGCGAGTCGCCTCGCGTCGCGCCTCCGACTCCGTCTACCTGTGGCAAGCTCTTCTCCTCTTGGATCCGACCGGGCTCCCTGCAACAAACAGCGACCTGCCGGGGTGGAGAATTTCTTCGATTCCGGTTTTTTATCTGGGAGGAAGGCGAAGTATGGGGGTGCGTGCGTGCTAAATAGAGAGGCTGGGAAGTGTCAGGAGCTCAAATGGGGGGAGAGGGGGGGCTGACGGCCCCCTTCCCCTCAGAAACAGAGTCTCGCCCCTCCCTCCGATACTTTCGGGCTCTCCGCAGCGGGAGAAGCTCGGCCCGTTCTCTGCGACTGAGAAGCCCCCCGTTCCTTCCCCAACCAAAGCCGCTGCGGCGACTCGATTCCGAACTGTAAGAAAGACACGGGAGGAGCAGGGAGCAATTCCGGCTGAAGCTTTGGCAGCTGCCTTAGTTTAGCGCTCCCCTCGGAGGCGTCTGGCCAGCTTCGCGCCTCTGCAAGGGTGCCAGCGGGATCCCTGCTCGAAGCGGCCCCGCGCTATCGCTGCAGCTTCCCCCCACCCCCACCCACCCGACGGGTGCAGGGTATCTTCTCCTCCAGATCGCGCCGAGGAAAGATCCGGGGAAAGTTTCTGGCTCGCTCGCTCTTTGCCCGCGAGCGGCTCTTTCTCCCCGCTCGGCGCTCCGAAGCAGCAGCAGTGCCGGCCTCTCCCGGTCCGCCCTCGGTCGGCTCCCCAGACGGAGAGACCCCCTGTTCTGAATTCTCCTTGGCGGACTGTCTCCCTCCGCTTAACTCTTGCCGCGCTGCAGCCTGCCGGCCGCCCGATCCGCTCGGAGCTGCTGGTCTGCTGCCGCATTCCCTGCCCGCCCGCTTTTCCTTTGGCTGGAAGAGTCCTGCTAGGAATGGGCTTCGCGTCTTCCTCCACCTCCTCCTCCTCCTCCTCCCCTAGCAAAGGTGAAAGCCGCAGGGCATGGGTGGGCCGAGTAATGCAGCATTCCGGGCTTGGTGGTTCAGCCTGGCAGCGGAAGAGCCCGGAAGGAGCAGCACGCCTCTTGCTGGGGGTTGGCTGAGGAGTCAGTTTTTCACGCCGGACCTCCTTGGTGTGGCTGAAGGACGGCGCGTCAACTGCGGGGTTGCGCGCGCGCGGGCGCGTGTGTATGTGTGTGTGTGTGTGGAAGGGAAGCTCGGCTGGATAAAGCGCAAGGGGCACTTCTGTGGGACAGGGACGGCGGCCTCCGTGAGGTGGCTGTCCAAGCCGAAGCTAGGCGCCCACAGAGGAAAAGGGTCCGGACGGAACGCGCCTGCTCCGGGCCCGTGCCGCTTGCCTGGAGCCTGTGGGGTGGGGGGCGATGTTTCCTACTCTGGAGCCGGGGTGCGAACGATGGCTTCTAGGGACCTCCCCCGAAGGAGGGTGCTTTCCTACGCAAAAGGGGTTTTCCCCTCCCTCCACGTTCCTTTCTCGGGTCGCCTGGGACGCCCCTTCTAGTCTTCCCCCCTCCCCCAACCTGATATGCCCTCCAGACGCGACCCCTGCCGATCGAGCCAGCCAGCAGAGGCTCTGCAACCGCGGCTGGGGGACGGTGGGAGCTGCAGTTTTATTTATTTTAATTTGATGTATTTACTTTTGTCAATTGCTTACAAAATAATAGGTATAAGTAAAAACATAGTTATGAATACATGGATACATATAAGAAAAATAAAATAAAAGAAAGAATAGGATAGGGACGGTAGGCACGTTGGTGCGCTTATGCGGCCCCCTACAGACCTCTTAGTTGTTCAACGCACCGCTGCTTCTTACTTAGATTCTTTCGGGCAACTCCTGTTGCAGTACAGATTGTACTGTAGCTGTCTGCTTTGCCAAAGGAGGTCCTGTTTCCATGGATTGAACAATGGAACAAGGACATTTTTTTCAAGGATTTTGCCGGGGGGCGGGGTGCGGAGGGGCCGGAAAACAATATATCCTAAGAGAAGAAGAGAAGGGGTTTTTCCTAATGACCTGGAAGGAATTCTTGGGTTACCGGTAAACTTCAGATCTGGGTTATGTCGGTCGATTCAGTGCGTTAAGTGAGTCCTTTTTTAAGTGCAAGAAATTGGAATCTGCTCCCCATTGAATTGTGTTTCCTCTGAAGTTTCACAGCTGAATCCTAAATCTCAGTTTGTCGCTAGGAGATAAGCTGACCTTAACAGCATGGAGTGCCTTTTACCTGCTTTAGATGCCTCATCTGTTCCAGCCTTGGATCAGACATTTGGCTATGATGATATGTATCTGTGGCAGTTGGCCTTGACGACTGCAGTATATCTATGTGGACTTGTTCCCATAGTTTCTCTTTTGGAAACTAAAATCTTCACCAGGCAGAATAAACTCATGCAACCATTTTCATCCCGGCACCCTGTTGCTGGCTGGCAGTAAAGAGCAAATATATTTTGAATTCAAAATGTTTCAGGTTGTAATTTTTGATTGGCATTTGAAACTACCACTGAAATGAGTTTTGAAATGTTTGAATTCAACACAGCTCTAAGCAGAGTTTGCACTTTGTTCTGAGTTGGAAATGCTTTCTGAGTTGGAAATGCTTGTTTTAAAAAATGCTTTTTTTAAAACAGCTTGTTTTGTACTCAAAGGAAATATTTGGAAGTCAACACAGGATATTTTGAATTTAAAACAGAGTAGATGGAAAATTAGCATTCCTGGCTGATGGATAATTCTTGAAGTTGGTATAAAATATTATAAATTTGACTGGATGAAGAACAGTTTATATATTCCTGAATAAAGAGATAATACATTTTTCAACTGCATACATAATTCAGATACATATAAATACAATACTTGTGCGCTGTAAATTACACAGATACCAACTTCAAGAATTCACAGATTCACACACAACTAGAGAATATGTATATGACCCAATTTCATTTGCATCTTTTTCATACCAAGAGAACAACACAACATATTTTCTCATCCTTTGAAAGCTCCTCAGATCCTGGTGTCTTCTGGAAAAATACGCCTAACTGTATCTGTCAGGTGCTGCACTATTTTCAAACTTACAGAGTTGTAACAGTAACGTTTATATCCCGCTTTTCTTCAAAAGGAGAAGAAAAGGGCGGCGTAGTGGCTCAGCAGTTAAAAGACTTGGTTTGTTGGCTGGAAAGAGACCAGTGATTGGGTGAGTTCCATCCTTGCCCCAGCTCTTGCCAACGTAGCAGTTCGAAAGCATCCAAATGCGAGTAGATAAATAGGTAGCACTTTGGTGGGAAGGTTACACCACTCCATGATGTCATGCAAGACACATGACTGGAAATATCTTTGGACAGTGCTGTCTCAATGATCTTGAAACAAAAATGACCACCGTCTCCCTATGGTCAGCAATGACTAGCGAAGTAAAATCCACAGGGACTCCTTTATCTTTTTACCTTTCTTCTAAAGAGATCTTTGATAGTTAGAGAATTTCCCCAGACTCTGTTTGAACTGAATAATAGGATGCATTATGTTGAAACACAAATTTATTGTGTTATTTATTTATTTATTGAAAGCCCTGGAGGAAAAGACTTGCTTTTTTATAGATTTATGCAAATTAGAGTATAAATATAATTGGATACCACAGCAAGGTATGTGGCTGGGTGCAAACAAAAACAAGCATTTGATTGGCTATAGTGCATCATGTGCCTAGTGAGGCAATCAGATGTAACTATGAGGTAATAAGGCAGGACTGCAAAGAAGAGGCTTTGAAAGAACAAAGGCAGTTTTTCATGAGCACAGTTTCTTTCAAGGGATTCACTTGGCTTTACAAAGTTTTGCTTCTTTGCCAGTATCTTTTCTCAGCTTATCAGCATTCCTTGGCCTTCAATATGACAGTTTTAGTTTCCCTGGGAATGTTTATTGGGTTAGGGCAGGAGTCCCCAAACTTGGCAACTTTTAGACTTGTGGACTTCAACTCCCTATTCCTCACCAGCTATGCTGGCTGAGGAATTCTGGAAGTTGAAGACCACAAGTCTTAAAGTTGCCAAGTTTGGTGACCTCTGGGTTAGGGGCTTTTAGCTTGAGCCTCCATTCCAAAATTCTTTTTCAGTAATTTCCATAAAGCCTGATGCTATATTATTTCCTCACAATCCTTTGAAATAGGTTAAGCTGAGAGGTGGTGTCTGGTTCTAG